CTTTGCGCGCAATTGCTTCTCTTTCTTGATCTTGAACCACGCTCGAGATTGGCATCGCATCCGCAAAACATGGCTTCTAATCACTTTGACTCGCAGGCTTCGACCAACTACAAGGAGGCTTTCTCTCTGTTCGACAAGCGTGGCAACGGCCGTGTCACACTCGACAGCTTGGGCGATCTCCTCCGTGCCTGCGGCCAGAACCCAACCCTTGCCGAGATTCAGGAGCTTGAGAAGAACGTGGGCGGTGACTGTGAGTACCAACATTGGCATACCCCTAAACTATAGAAAAGACAATGACTGACAAAACACCCCCGAACAGTCGACTTCGAGACCTTCCAGCGCATCCTCAACCGACCGGGCGGCTTCCGCGATCCTGGCGAGCCCGATGAGTACTGCCGCGGGTTCCAAGTATTTGACAAAGATATGACGGGCTTCATCGGTGTCGGCCAGCTCAAGTACATCCTGACAAATCTGGGTGAGAAGATGACCGAGGAGGAGGTGGACGAGCTTCTCAAGGCGGTGGACACCAGCAACGGGCAGGTCAACTACACGGAGCTCGTCCGCACCATTCTCGCCAACTAGAGGGAGGTGAAGCTACCGGACGTATGGGAGTCTGCAGTATGACACACATGTTTTCATTTGGGGGCATTTGCATTGATTAAGAGGCGGGCCAGGCGTTGGAGTAACTTTTGGGACGATCTATAGTCTATCGGTCTTAGGCAGCTGGATGAGGCTCTACTGCGCCCTTTTGGTTTGGGATAGCAATAGAGACTTGTTGGCAATACTATGTCGAGTTTGTTCTATTGTTTGTGACATCGTGTTTAAGGGTGTGGAGGCCTGGGCCCCTGAAGAACTGTTCTGGGCTCGGACAGTAAGTGATCATGCTTCGAAGGGAGGGATATCGTGTTCATGTGCGGTTCTGATCGGTCCGGATACATATAGTGTTTTCTTCACGAATCTTTGGAAATTTTTTCGTGGACGGCAAACTCTCAATGTCCTCGAAGCTCCTATTCCCGTGGGCCAAAAGTTCCGAGTGTCCAGTGCCACCATGAAGACCAATGTTCACGCCAGAGAGCACGGGCCACTCGCTGGCCTGGTCCGAGCTCAAACACAGCATGCCGGACCTCGATTGCCGAATATCTTCGTCGAACTGCAGCACTTGGAGCTGTTCAATCTAGATCATTACAACGCTTGACGACAAATTCCAGTGCCGCCCGGGCTCCCTCAGACCACGGTAACTCCAATTGGGTTGTTTAGCAGACCACTCCCCCGCCCGTAGCACCTCTCGCTCAACATCGAACGAAGCACGAACCCCGCAGTTGGGTTGGGTTCTTATTGACATCTGTTTCCGTGCTACCTGCGCTGCCTGCGTCTCCGGCCGTACCACTTGCCTGCCCGTCAACCTGGCGCCCAACACCCCCCGAGCACGGCAGGCCGTCTTCCTGCTCCTCTTCTCCCTTCTTCTTTTCTCCACTGTCACCGTCATCCTGGCTGCGCCACGGCTCGCCCCCCGCATTTCTGCGCTGTTTACGCAGTTACGGTACAGCCGACCCCACCATTTCCCAGGTCAAGCTCCTCTCGGTCACGGCCTCAATGTGGTGACTGTCACCACCACTCCAGGTCTAGCTACACTATCGTACTCAACCCTAGGCACCCTCTTCACGCACGCACCCACGGTCAACATGGCCAAATACGTAACCCCCCCCCAGGACCCTCCGCTCTTCACCGGCACCAAGGACAGCATTGTCGCCGACTCCAAGGCCCTCTGTGACGACACACGTTCCCTGCTCGACAAGCTTGTTGCTGAGATCAAGCCGTCCGAGAACCCTGCTGCCGCCACGTTTGAGTCCGTCCTCCGTCCCCAGATCGAAGACGAGAACCAGAGCTCGCTCTCCGCCCGCATCCTCGGCTTCTACCAGTATGTCAGCGCCGACGCAGCCCTTCGCGATGCCAGCACCGAGGCCGAGAAGATCATGGATGAGTTCGGTATCGAAGTTAGCATGCGCGAGGACGTCTTCCGCCTTGTTGACGTCGTGTACAAGAACAGCGGGCTCGCCGAAAGCAAGGAAAAGAACAAGGACCGCCTAATTACCGAGGAGCTAGCCAAGAGCACTGGTCTAGAGAGTGTCGAAAGTGCCAGGCTGTTGGAGAAGGAACACAAGGGCTACATCAAGAACGGCCTTGGCCTTCCCGAGGGCGAGAAGAGAGACCGCTTCAAGGAAATCAAGAAGAAGCTCAGCCAAATCAGCATTGCCTTCCAGAAGAACCTGAATGAGGAGAATGGAGGACTCTGGTTCACCCTAGAGGAGCTCGATGGCGTGCCACAGGATGTCCTGGACGGTTTGGAGAAGGGCGCCGGCGAGAATGAGGGCAAGCTGCGCCTTTCGTTCAAGTACCCTGACCTCTTCCCCACGCTCAAGTTTGCCAAGAACCCCGACACTCGCCGTAAGGTGTTTATTGAGAATGAAAACAAGTGCAACGACAACGTCGAGCTGTTCCGAGAGGCCATTGAACTTCGCGACGAGGCGGCTCGTCTGCTCGGTTATCCTGACCACGCAACCTTTCGCATTGAAGACAAGATGGCCAAGACGACTAAGACAGTTCTAGACTTTTTGAACGACCTCAAGACTCGTCTCGGTCCCGGTGGTCTCAAGGAGATTGAGCATCTCAAGGACTTGAAGAAGAAGGACCACGAGGAGCGCGGTCTGCCGTATGATGGCAATTACTATCTCTGGGATCACCGTTACTATGACCGCCTGATGATTGAGAAAGAGTACAGCATTGATGAGAATGCGATTGCCGAGTACTTCCCCATCACCTCCACCGTCGGTGGTATGCTGAAGATCTTCGAGACCCTCTTTGGTCTCGTTTTTGTCGAGTTAACTCCCGAGGATCGCAAGCGCATCTCACCTACTGGAAAGGCAGAGGACATCGCGTGGCATGAGGACGTTATTATCTTCAGCGTGTGGGATGACACGTCCGAGGGTGAAGGATTTGTCGGATACCTGTACTTGGACCTTCATCCCCGTCCAGGCAAGTATGGCCATGCTGCCAACTTCAACCTGCAGCCCGGTTTCCTCCAGGCCAATGGTTCCAGACGCTACCCTGCCACTGCGTTGGTGTGCAACTTCTCCAAGCCCACCAAGGAGAAACCTTCCCTCCTCAAGCATGACGAGGTTGTCACGCTTTTCCACGAATTGGGTCATGGTATCCACGATCTTGTCGGCCGCACCCAGTATGCTCGTTACCATGGCACTTCCACTGTCAGAGACTTCGTAGAGGCCCCAAGTCAAATGCTGGAAAACTGGTGCTGGACGCCAAGTCAGCTCAAGAGTCTCAGCAAACACTACAAGACCGGGGAGTCGATCCCGGATGACCTCATTAAGAAGCTCATTTCCACCAAGCATGTCAACGATGCCCTCTTCAACCTTAGACAACTGCACTTTGGTCTCTTCGACATGACGGTCCACACACCCAAGTCGCACGACGAACTCAAGAACCTGGATATCAGCAAGCTCTACAATGACCTTCGTGTTGACATTTCCAAGATCAAGGGCCCAGAGGCGCAGGGTGAGACCAGGTAAGTTTTTGCCAAGACCGTTCGAGAACCCGAGTCATTGCAGCTAACCATGGTTGATGTTCTAGCAACTGGGGCAACGGTCAGGCCACGTTCGGCCATCTCATCGGCGGCTACGATGCCGGTTATTATGGCTATCTTAGTTCCCAAGTCTACTCCACCGACATGTTCTACACGAAGTTCAAGGCCGACCCCATGAACGGCAAGGAGGGTCGCCGGTACAGGCACACTGTGTTGGAGAAGGGTGGTTCCCGGGATGAAATGGTCTCGTTGGAGGAGTTCCTTGGCCGCAAGCCGAGTTCGGAGGCGTTTTACAAGGAGCTGGGTCTGGACAGCTAAGCTGGGTATCCCGTGTTTCTCCGTGGGCTGACATTTCCTGTGGAAGCTTTGCTGCAGTCGTTTTCTTTTTTGGCTGGAATAGGTAGCCATCATTACTCGAGAATGAACAGTGTTCCAGAGGGTATCGTTGACTAAATAAATAAATAAAATAAAAGAATATTGGACTGGACAGGTGCTGGGTACACTAGGGTGAGGAGGCTTAAATGCTTATTTTGACTTTGCCACACACACCATCTGAACTTGTCTCCTTCCACGCCTCGGCCCGCTACCTAGTGTCCGGACGGATCTCAACACCAACCTCCACTGTCCGGTTGCGATGAACTACCGAGATCCTCCCGATCTTCTCAGCTTATTAGTGCCGCGAGTCATTGCGTACAATATTGTTGCATCCTCATCTCCGAAGTCCGCTTCTAAGTAGGACCGAGGTGAGGATCGTTGAGGGGACAGCTCACCGACAACGGCGGTGGGAAAGGTGGGTTGGGCTGGGGGTCCTGACTCTAGTGGACTTGAACGAATTAGGAAGGTCATGTATAGGATCGGTCAAGAGGAGCCACATGTCGGTGACGGATTTTGACTGACAAGAACAGAGAGCCGGGAATTGGGTGAGAGTGATGGTCCTCTTCCTTTCAGCCGTGTCGGCAGTTGTTGTTTGGTACGTGTTGGGTCCACGATACTAGTAAGGATGGATTTGTTGGTGATGTAAATTTTTGGGCGTGAGGAAAGCCGTAAACCAAATCTCCTGTTCACAGTACGTAGGTAGCTTCTTTGCTTCTGCCTGAATTCCGTGTAAGGGGAGGGGGGTTGCTCTGGCACCGTGCACATACGGTTTCATTTCTTCTCTTCCTCACCTTGAGTATATACGACTTGGAAGAAGCTGCGGTCGAAACAAACCACGTGCTTTACCTTTTGTCCCATCTAGGAGACTGCTCTCTGACAATGTTCCGCCCGGGGTGAAGTCGGGGAGTGAGTCCCACACAACAGGAGTCTTCGCAACATTGCTGGAAGATAAAAAGGGGGGGTGGTTGAAAAGAGGGCAGAGACTAACGTAGGTTATGATGTGGACCAGCAACATCCAATCAGAAAAGCCCGATCAGCTCAGCTGGTTAGAGCGTCGTACTAATACTGGGGGAGATTCAGTAAATAGTAGTAGTTTCATGCGAAGGTCAAAAGTTCAATCCTGTTACTGGGCACACATATCTCTTTTTTCTTTTTCTTTTTCTCGCTCTCCTCTTTTCTTGGATTGCTGGTTGTGTGTGTGTGGGGGGGGAGGGGGGGAAGGTTGATCTTGTTGGGGGTGTTCTGTGCCGGTGTATTCTGTTCAGGATGTTGTTAGATAACGCTATTTGATGTGTAAGGTAGAATGATTGATAGGAGTGGGATTAGGGTATAGATGGTATAGAGTGACTGCAAGTTGCATGCATTGTCAAAGAGTAATCATTGTGATTGTTCAAATTGCGAGTTAGGGGTGTGATAGTGTGGAAATGCCAAGAGGCACAACGATGGGAGATCGTTTCATTCGGGAGGGTATGTTTTTGGCCAAGATGAATTGAGCAAAGAGCGGCTTCTATCCTTCGATCTGATGCGCTTCATCTTATTGGAAAGACCTTCGTTTTGCAGGCAGGCATAATTCCTTTTTAAAACTCAAAGGCCAATATGAAGATGTTGAGATTTATCAGACCGGAATCAGTTGTCAAAAAAGATATCACAAACATTCGATGCACCAAAATTGGCAAATATCAAAATAAACATTCCCACCCTACATCTGCCCTAAACTCTTTGGTATCCAGTTGCGCGCAAAAAGTCACGCTCGACAGCAAAAGAAATACCCTTCCCACGACAAAAAGAAAACGCCTCTCCAGAACCCAAGCCCAACTAAGAAATTGCCACCATAGTCCCTAATGACCATTCCTATGCCCAATCCTTTTTTATCCATGCACCCTCATGAATGCTGTAAAGACATTACCAGTTACAAGTTGGGAAATGATGTTACAAAAGAAAATTCCAAAACTCCAATCGACCCCCAAAACACCGTTGAAATGCTTTCCCTTGAATCATTTCAGGCAAGAGGCGCACAGCCAAAAGAGGTTCCAACGGCACCCGTCTCGTAGCGGACCGCAATGTCCTTGACAGCGGAGTAAGTGCCGAGTCCGAGAATGACCATGCCGACAATGAAAGCCACCACGTTGAGGGCGCCCAGGAGAAGATTCCATGGGGTCCACTTTCCTTCCTTGATAAACATGAACCACATGATGGCAGGGAAGTAAAAGGTGAAGCCCGACAAGAATATGGCAGCGCAAATAGCCAGCAGGGGTGAGAAGAAGGGAATGGCCTCGGCAACGATAAAGGCAAGCAGCGTGATGGCGGCGTCGACACCAATCCAAGTGATCCAACCCATGGGGGTGTTGACGTAGCGGATAACAGAGTCCTTGAACCACTTGCCGTGGATGTATCGCGCGCAGACAACAGTGTTGATACTGCCGGAGATGTAAATGACGGGCAAGGCCACGCCGAAAGCAACCTTGGACATCAAGGGGCCAGCGGAAAGGAGAGCAGGGGCCTGGACATCATGACCGACAAAGGCATAGACGAGGGCGCCAGTGAGGGTGTAGAGGAAGATCTCGAAGATGCCGAGAGTGAAGATGGCCTGGGGATAGTCGGAGGGGGTGTGCATCTCGTCCATGAAACTGAACTGGCAGAGGGCGTAGCTGTAGGCAAACACAATGTTGGTGACAGCAATGAAGCCCTCATGAAGCGTCAGTCCCTCTCGCGGGTAGGCGGACCATGTGACCGCAGCCAGACCGCCCTCGGCGTTGGCAGACTGAACACCGGTGGCGATGATGGTGATGCCAATGGCGCCAATGATGGAGACGAAATCGATGTATCCGAGAATGGCCATTTCGGAAAAGGTGGGTGGAATGGCCAGGAGGAACAGAAGAATGCCGGAGACGACCGCGAAGACGACGGTGCAAGCACCATTGTCGGTCAGGTTACCAAACATGATCGCTCCAGTTAAGACGTGAGAGGCAGTGGTGAAGGTGAGCTGAAGAACGAACATGACGGTCATGATGATGTATCCCCACTTGCCAAACATCATCCTACCGGCGTCAGTGTAGTGGGCAACCTCGGGGTACTTGACCTTGACCTGACCGACGACGTAACTGCAGTACATGGCCAAAAGACCCATACCGACTGAAATGATGACGCCGAGAATCATGCCCAGTGCCGAGAAAGCGGCTGGAAGGCTGAGACTGCCCAGGGCAACGGCGGTGACGATGAGCACAACCGTCAGGCGCTTCCATCCAAGTTGGTGGAAAGCAGCATCACCCTCAGCCATCTTCTGCCTTTCAAAGTCGTAGTCGGCGTCCCTGTTGGCGCGGACGTCACCCTCCACTGAAGAGGCACGGCCGGAGCCAGTAGGTTCGAGGACAGTTGTCTTCTCCTTCTCGGTGAGTCTCCCACCCGGACTTGGTGTAATTTCCGCCATCTTGAGAGAATCTTTCGTCCTAAGACTAAACAGCCGGCCTGCCAAAACTGTTGAATGCGTGGCGATATGGGCCGGGGTAGACTCAGGCAGGTGATGTGGAGATGGCGAAGAGGCGGATGGGTGAAGGGTGAAGAGTGAAAAGACGGGAACCGAAGCTCGCGGGGGAGTCGACTTTATGAATGAGTCTTGCAGGTCAAAATTTGTTGAATAAAGGTATGACCAGGACAAGCACCATTGACACAAAGCCAATTCCCGAAATGTGAGTGAGCCTAGCTTGATGGGATGGAGAGCCAAATTCCTGGGGAAGCAGGGAAAAGACAGCAACTTTAAAAGAAGGCGTCAAACCTCAGTTTCAAGCCCGAGTCAGGGTCATGGCAAGCATATCCCTACCATGCCGTTGTCCTCTTGCCGATCTCGGTGAAGGGATCGAAGGCCGGAAGCACCGGCAGGGACGTCCCATCGCCACCGAGGAGGATACCCCGACGGTTGTCCCGATGGTACTTGCTGGAAGGCCAGTATCAGATGAGCAGCAGTTCACCCACGTGCCTGGAAAGTGCTCCCCCAGATTCTATCTCCGACACAATGCCGCAGGGTCTCAACGCTTCGGTTGTTCTCTCACATGGTGTGCTGTCAGGCCCAGGACCCTTTCTGCAAGCCCCAGGGAGTCCTTGCTCCTGCATGCCGCTGACGGAGTTCATAACCGGTCGGTCCACCATCTCCGCATGAAGCATCTCTCCCACTCGTTCTAGAAGACGAGAAGCGGGAGGCCGTGTTTCTCAAGCCCTATTCATGGGGCAGCTCAAGAATCTGTGTGGATTGCGGGGGCGCGATAGCGGACATTCCAACGTCTGAACCGGGAGACAAATTACCATGTCTGGGGAAAACGGCACAGACAGAAATGGTTCATCTCGACAAGCCAGGAACCGGGAGGGAGCGAACTGCCAGTAGCGCCGGTACTTTGGGAGGTCCGGTGTGGTGACGACACTGTGGGGGCCCGTCAAGGCAAAAGGGGCACTGCCTCGCCGCCACACGCCGTTGTCCGCGGCAAAGCTTATTTTCTCGTGATGCCCGATGCCAACCCCTGCCCTTACACTGAGGAGGTAGCACGCTGAAATGCTTGGTTTAAATGGGCTAGTAATTCCGGACTGTCTGCGCCGTCCTGAGGCCATTGGAAAGAGCCTGACATGTCCCGCAGAGAGTGGCAGAGCATGGACGGGGTTCGCATTCTCGGAATTCAAGACGATTCCATCCCCAGCTCAGGCGGTGAGAATTGTGATAGTCGGCATGTTGCGAGATCGGTGTTGAATATCTGGGATCCCATCTCTCTTTTGCCCGGAGCTGGCGCAGACCCCGGAGTGCAACTGCCAGACTCCACCTGCAGCTGATGGACAACGCTTCTGATGACCAATGCCGGGCTCGTGAGAAAAGACTTAGTCACAGCTTGCTTTTTGGTCTCCTGGGCTATCTTGGGATCTCTTGGGCACACAGGCCCAGGCCTTTCGGGTGACCACCTCGGGAATCCACAGTTTGTTTTGCTATCTCTAGAATGTGTGTGAGTCATCAAACAGACCGGCACTTGAGATGACGGCTGTGAGGCTGAGAAAGAATCAGGAGAGCGGGTGTGGTTGTTGACGGCGGAAAGAAGCCAAGGAATTGACTCCTAGTCCTAGGAAGCATCGAATGTTGACTTCATGGAAGATGCCAGGACGGGGGATCTTGGCACACCTTCCAGAAACAAGTGAAGTTGGTCCCAACCCTAACCCTTTATAGGACAGCACATCTGACCCAGTGGCGCACTATGTGGCTGAGGAAGCATGTAGATGTGGCGCTTGTGAAGCTTGGCATGCAGTAACAGCCAATGCACGAGCCACATTTTGAAGTAAACAAACGGGCTGTGTTTTAGCCAATCAACAACAGCCTCTAGCATTTTATTGACTGCGACTTCCCTGCTCCCATTCCAACGTCTTCAATGGAGCCCACAATCGACTTTTGACACCATCACCAACACGCGACTTGCGCCGACGATCCAAGGCTTCCTTGAGTGGCCGTGACCGATTATCATTTCATATTTACCAGACGACAATGCCCGCTTATTGTTAAGAAAAAACGAATTCTATTCCAATTAGCTGCCCTCGACTGGATCGCGTCCTGACTCGCGACAACCTCGAACCTCCTCGAGCTTCCCAAGCAAACACCTAGTCGTCTCGCCCGAAGCTGAAGCTAGGCGCTTCGATAACTACACAAAATGTCTTTGATGGACTCGGAGGACGTGTTTTTCTGCCTTGAGAATCGGCTGGCCTCGTTCCAAGTGGCACAAGCTTCCGCAAAAGGGAGGGCATCCAGTGCAAGCTCTCGCGGCCCAAAACCGCTGCAGTGGCCGCACAAAACACTGTCCTCAGTCGCGGTATGCTTCAAATTTCTATGTGACCAGAGTGTCCAGGACTGACTTTGATGTCACAGTTTGCAAAAGCCGGATTCTTCTTCGAGCCATACCCACAAAGTCCTGACAATGTCGTTTGCTTTTTGTGCGACAAGTCCCTCGACGGGTGGGAAGAAAATGACAACCCTTTGGAGGAGCACTTGAAGCATTCGCCAACGTGCGGGTGGGCCATCATGGCAGCTATTGAGGCCGGTATGGGAAACTATGGGAAGGTACACCCTCTCGACCCGTTCATGGTCGAGGCTCGCAAGGCGACATTTGCCGGC